TCTGCCGTGGTTTCTTCCTGTTAAAAGGGAGTTTTTCCTTCCCACTGTCGCCAAAGTGCTTGCTGATAGGGGGTCATATGATTGTTGGGTTTTCTCTGTTGTATTATTGTAGGGTCTACCTTACGATATAAAGCACCTTGAGGTGACTGTTGTTGTGATTTAGTGCTGTATAAATAAAACTGAACTTGAATTAAAAACCAATATGATTGTACACTCATTTCTTCAACCAGCTGTAACTGTAGCAACACAATGGAAGAGGTTACAAAAATCCAGTGGTGCACATCACTGCAACACCAGCATTACATAGGAACGTATTCGATAAATCACACTTCATCCAGTATAGCACAGCGACATACTGCCAACATAATTTACCCCCATTTCACCAACGCTTTTTAACTCTCCGGGCAATCCATCCTGGTGATTTAGTGTGTCTTAAAAATAGAGTGTGGATTTTGAATGAAGCTAACAGTTTGAAAATAGAAGACACAGAAGATGAACAGTCATCTACATAAAATAATGTGAATTTTCATATCATATTAACGTGTTTGTCTGAAAAACTACAGAGAGTTTACTAACATTAGCTAATGGTAAATGGCCTGCATTTGTATAGCGCTTTACTAGTCCCTAAGGACCCCAAAGCGCTTCACACTACATTCAGTCATCCACCCATTCACACACTGGTGCTGGCAAGCTACATTGTAGCCGCAGTCACCCTGGGGCGCGCTGACAGAGGCGAGGCTGCCAGACACTGGCGCCACCGGGCCCTCTGACCACCACCAGTAGGCAACGGGTGAAGTGTCTTGCCCAAGGACACAACGACCGAGACTGTCCGAGCCAGGGCTCGAACCGGCAACCTTCCAATTACAAGGTGAACTCCCAACTCTTGAGCCACAATCGCCTAATGATTATGTCCTGTTGCGGATGGCGCCCTGTTAGAAAACTGTGCTTAGCTGCTATGTTGGGCAGATAACACATTTCATGCCAGCATTCCTCAAACATAAAAGATGATGAATAATCTTCTACAAGAAGAAGATGTAAAGTCTTGCTTACACTGGACCTGCTGAAATGTCTTTTCTTGGATAAAGCTGTTTAAAATGCATTCATTTTGTGTATTTGTACAGTCCTGAAAGATATCTGTGCATTCAGCTGCACTCGATTACTTTATTTTTAAATCTGCTGCATCAGAATCCTCTTCAGTCACAGTCTTGCTGTGCATGAATGTATATGTTGAAAATAAATCAAGATGCAAAACCATTTTTGAGGTTTCAAAAAGAGGTCATACATGTGCCTGGATCACTTTTCATTCCTAAGCAGATGTTTGCAGTAGCCTACACTGAATTTTAGAAAGGAACTAAGTATCCACGTGCTTTTCTTTTTTGCTTAATTCATAATGTTATGTATGAGCCGAGGTATATTGTGTGTTATAAAAGCTATCGCCAGTAGTGGGCACCACGCCATGTTATGTGTGTGTGTGTAAGTTCTTCAGGTATAGGATAATAAAGAGAAGAAGACGGAATGTAAACAGCTAACGTGTGTATCTGTCTGGCTCTGTTCTATCACTAAAGAATATAGGAATGCTTGCTGTATTTTAATGCACACATTACACCACGACCTGAGTGAGAAGATCAGCCTGTATGAGTATGGCACAGAGAGCAGGAGGAAGTCGCTAAAGCAATACGTAGATGCGACTGCCACCTGAAACGCAGGCAAAGCAGCACTAAACGACCTGTTCCCAAAGAGGAAACGGCGCCTATCCCGACAGACACAGCAGATATATGTCGGCAATACGCCGTTGTGCTTTCTGGGAAGCGACGTTTTGCGCGAGCAGATGCGAGATCACTTCTGTCATGCGGCAAACGGTGAGCATGGTGGCCGCATAGCTGTGGCTACTCAGTACTGCCCTTTGCAGCTCGTTTCCATTAACAGACATACACATGTCAGTCGATTCTTACCTTCTGAAGACATTCGATCACTTTGTTCATGTATGCCTTCTGACATTCGTAGGGAGAAAAGGGGAAATTTACAGCCACTCCGCTAAGAGTCAGTGAAGGCATTCTGTCATCTGGCGTCAGTCGGCAGCAGCATAGACAAGAGTAGTTGTTCTTGTTTAGAGAGGTACTTCTTCTAGCGCTGTAGTCACTTCTACTGTTTGACCCGTTAAAATGGCTGAACTGTGGTATAATGTACTTTTAACACTGGCTTGTTTAGACTCAGTAGAAAGGAGTTCCCAACTCTTGTTGTTTCGCGCCAGCTTTCTGTTAACTTGCCCATGCGCACTGTGACGCTGACGACTGGTGCGTTCAAAGGGTCACGGAATCCTGAACAACAACCTTTAATTTTCTAAACCACTTTTCTCGCCTTCAATGGAAAAAGTGAGCAGGTCAGGGGAAAATGGGTAGGATAACTCATAAGGAGAAAAGCAGTGCACTGAGAATCGCAACGACTTTTTACAGTCTCCAAAGTATTGATGTCTGCCACGCTAAAACTACAACGTGCAGAAGATGGACTACAAAACGCGCGTCGATGTATGTAGTGTGTACCTAAAAGTGCCGCAAATGAAATGAGCGAGGCTTTGAAATAATCTGAAACTCATCTCCACAGTGACATCTACTGACCAATTTGGCTATCACTACACCTTGAAAATACCTTTCTGTGAAACAATGATGCAGACATGCCCTGCACAATTCCAAACAAAGCTACTTATTATATCAGACTGTCAGTAATTGTGATCAGCAGATGTTTTCATACAAACAAGGGGGAAAAAATAATGAGACTGTTAAAGACAGATCTGTGACTATAGTGATCGATGTGCTTCAGCAAATTTCTCCATCTGTTAATATTCCTGCTGCTCACAATAAATCAATTTATATAGTAAAACAAACAGAGAAAAGTCTGCATGTTCACTGTAACGACCACACTGATTTACAGCTGTTTT